CTGAGGGTTGAGGGAGTTGCGCTGAGTATTTTTTCATCAATATTTATTGGTGGTTTTGCGTATTATTAGTCGGAGATTTTTTTTTCGCCCGAAAAACGCGAAGATTTCATTTCTCCACCCCCTAACACCCCCTTGGACCAATCTGAAAGACTTGATCATTTTCCTGGGGGTCGAGGGTGTTTCGTTTAATCTTTTTTTATAACAATCTGCTGGTGGTTCTGGCTATTTATGGTGCAGAAATTTTTTCTTCCCAAAAAAAATACAAAAATTGAGATTTTCATCTCCCTACCACCCCCTTGGCCTGAACAAAGGGGGTTGATCATATTGTGGAGAATGGGGAGGCTGTTTCAGATCATTTCGGAATTTAGAACTGAAATAGGAACAATTTTCAGTTTTCGTATTGAGGTATAGGGCCCCACAGATCCTTGCTACGGCCCTGAACTTTCGCTGCCAAGTCGGCTGCTAACTTCAGCGTCATTAATTTATCCTGATAATTAATGATCTGACAGCCATCGACTACTGTGACAAATGAATAATTTGCAATTTCCTCTCTATTGGGTTTATTTCCCAATATTATTAAAAAATAGCTCTTTGAAAATCTTCAGCTTTTTTTCAACGTTTTTTTGATTGTACAATCATAATTTTTGGAGACTCCAGGGCTATGTAAAACTGAACAGCAATTGGAAATCATTTCACATTATAAAAATAAAACAAGGAGGGGTTCGAGCCCATCCGACAGAAGGCATCTGACCGTTACTTTTTGGGTTATTAATCCTTTTCTTTTTTTTCATTTCCACCAATTTCATTGGTAGTCAGCTTCTAAATGGATCCGTAACAATTTCCTGTCCTTGTGACAGGTATACAATCGTAACCACATGCTACAGGGTGTCTACAGGAAGATATTCAACCTTTTAATGAAATAGCTTTATGCAAAAGTTTAAATATCTCCGAAACCGTTCGGCCGATTGCGCCCATCCACAATACCAACCTTTTATGGTGTAAAAGCTAGAAGCATACAAAATTTCAATTCGCTATCTCCATTTTTTATTATCGTGTAAACAAAATTTTTCGTGAAAAAACGGAAAAATTTGAAGATATTGATCTTCAAATTTTTTCTGAACGGGTATGTACAATATATTTTGATTGATCTAGATTGTGGCCATGGAGACGAGTATTTTGAAAAAAAAATTGAAACCGGTGGAGTAGATTTTGAGATATTGAGGAAAAACGAAATTCAAAGAAGTTGTTATATCTCAGGAACTACTGGACCGATCGAGCTGAAACTGTGCAACAAAGTGAAGCTTAATCATAGCTACCACGATCCAAAATTGCAGACTTTTATCGACAAGTTCCACCGTATTTATGTAGAATTTTCTAAAAATTGATCACCAAAAACCCAAGTTGTCACACACATACATACAGACATGACCTTAAAAACATCATTTCTTTACATTTCATAACATTTAATACAGTTTTTTTTCATTATTTAAAGTGCTGAAATCCTAATTACAGATTATTCACACTGTCATTGCTATGTTACATTTCTCAATTTGTTACACTTATTACAGTTGGTATCCTTTTTTCATTTTAGATTTTTAATTCACATTCTTTAAGGTATTTACAAATGATTTCTATGTATTTATGGTCAGTTGTACAACAATTTGATTCTCTGTTGATTGCAATTTGGACAATGCCACAGTACATGCTCAAAGTCATGACATTTTGCTATTCTATACCATTTGCCATCAAAATTAGAAAATCGAAAAATCGCTCAAATACAAGGCTTCCGTTCGAAAGCAAAAAACCACGATCACGTTCGAAAGATAATTCACCGAGGGCTTAAAACAAAATCAGAAATCTCTGCAAAGAGCTCAATCCCTCATACTTATATCGAACGAAGTCATTGACCCAAGGCCCCCACAAAGCACCCACAGACGTGTCCACGTCAATAAATAAAAGGACCCCTCGTCTCCTTTTAGAAAGGTCTCAGTGAACTCCAGGAGACGCTCTCCAGCACGTCAGTGCGCGCTGACATTACCACAAACTCCCTGACCCTCGAGCACCCCCTAACATGGAACTCCCTCCTCCTGCGTTGCCACCAGTGCCTTGTGAACCTCACGAAGTGTACAAGGGACCGCAAAAGGCCGGCGTTACAACGCCAAAGCAGTTGTTGCAGCATCCTAACCCTAATAATGCGCTACGCAAGCACCCCCACGGCGGTCTACCTAGACCTCACCAACCTGATGCAGCTGGTAAACGAAATTTTAACCGGTCCAAATTACGAGGAGTGCCACAACGAGTACATGGTGATCCTCCACGACTGCATCCTCCCGAACACCCTGTACCGAGCCCAGATGACCCTGGAGGACTGGAGGAACCTCCTGGACATCTCCGTGAGCCTCCACAAGTCCCAGTACTCGAACAAAACGATTCTCATCGAAATCGTGAGGAAGATCGTCCTTTACGGATGCCAAAGAGGTGACTTTCACCAGGAAGTCCTGGCCCTCCTTCCTTTCCTCTTGGAGCTCTTCAATGACGTCGTCATCAACCCCTCGATGCTCCTCAACCCAGCCTCTCGACTCCTTACGACGATAATCCAACAGATTGGAACGGAGAATCGTCGCACGTTGTGCGAATTCACTGAGAAACTCTTGCCTTCAGTCCTGAGCATTCTGACGGCAGGAGGAAGAGAACGAGACGAGCTGCTGTACCACATCGTCCTTCTGCATCACCCCCGAGGGGCCACGAGGGCAGAGGGAACGTCATACGCCAACAGCTGGTCGACCTGGCGAAGAATCATGCTGACAATCCAGAATTCGATTTTCAGGGGGCTGGAGCCTATGCTCTTGGAGAAGGGATTCCTGGCTCTGGGAACTGAGGTGCTGCATCAGGTGCTGGTGGACGAGGCTTATAAAAATGAGGTTGTCAATGGAACAATCGACGATGATGGAGAACTGGGTCCCCAAGCCAAACGTCGCAAGCTCTTCCACAGCATTCAGTCACCCCTGGACCTCTTCGATAAGGAATTCAGCGGGAAAAATCTAGAGAATCGTTGGCCAGTGGTGCAGCTCCTCACAACTCTCCTTACGAAGTACCCTGGGACCCTCAAAGCCTCCCACTTTCAGCCGATCCTGAAGATCACCAGCGAGCTGTTCACCGAAGCCACTAAGGAGCCCAAAGTAATGGATACCCTGTGTCACCTGGGGAGAACACTGATCAAAATCGAGAGGACAAGCTTTGGGAATCTTGAGAAACGCAGCAGCAAGTACTGGGACAAGATCTTTGATAATGTTCTCATCACTTTGGGAAAGGGTCACAACGAGGTGGAGGGTCACAAGCTGCTGCAGATGCTGATAGAGTACCGAGGGGTTCACAATGTCAATGCTTTTGTCAATCTCTACTTCACGAATGCCATCAAGTGGTCCAGCTCGAGTGTCGAGACTCTTTTGGTTCTCTGCAGTCACGTAGTCATCCTCGAGGACTCGAGCCCCAATTCTGGGAGGTGGGAGGGACAGTCGGACAGGCAGAGGCTCATCAGGTGGGGCCTGGAGGTCCCAGGGTGCAGGGTCCTCTCTCCTGATGCTCTTGAAAAGGTCACCAAACTCGTCACTGGGCTCGTCTTGAAGACCTGGGACAGACGATTCGCCGGGTTCCAAATTCCCGGGGAAGTTGAGCTACTGGAGTTCCATGAGGACGATCTGAGGTGTATCGACTCCATCCAGAAGTGCCATCTATCCCTGGACTTCGAGACTGATCTGTTTGATGGGGAAGTTGTCAAGTGCCCGGAGAAAGCAGAGCCCCTCAAGCTATCGATTGCAGAGAGAAACTTCAATTTCTGTCTTGGAATGATTTCCGATCTTCTGGACTTTCCTGGAGAACTACCAGAGGACGTCAGCTCCATCATCTCCAGATTAACAATTGTCGCGAAGTGTCTGTCCAACTTTCTCGAGCTAGAGGTGGAGTGCGGGGAGCTGGAATCATTAATCTCTGAATTTGTGATTCAATTTTCGGATGTTCTGGAGATGATGAGTAAGAATGGGAAATTGAAGCGAGGGGATGCTCACGTGGTCGGGGTCCTGAAGGCGTTGGTAACATTGTTCTCGTCGAAGTATCACAAGAGGATAGCCACGATAATTCTGGAGGGTACACCCAGGGAAATACTGAAGTGTCTCTTTCTCATCCTGAATTTTGAGGAGAAGAGTGAACCGAGTGACTTGCGACAGTTGGGGATCAAGTATTACGAGAGGATTTTTGACATGAAGAGCTCGTCCGAGGAGAAGGAGTCACAAATAACTATTGGAACTCATCAAGTAAGACAGAAGAATTATCATGGAAATTATTTTTCATTTTATTTTCACTCTAATATGACTATCTTTTTCCGCCATTTTCAATGTTTTGTTGGCTTTATCTTATTTGACCTCCATATCACCTCTACATGATCGTTATATAACGGTTATATAGCCCTTATCACCCACATGTGACCTTCAAATAACCCTCACGTAGCCCTTATCACCCACATGTGGCCTTCCCATAACCCTTACGTAGTTCTTACATCACCCACACTTGACCTTCATATAATCTTTACGCGGCCCTAATCGTATACACGTGACCTGCATATAACCTTTACGTGGCCCTCATATCACCCACACGTGAACTTCATATAACTTGTACGCGGCCCTCATCGCATACACGTAACCCTCCAACGATCCTCAGAGCAGAATACTTCAAAGGAAATTAAAATAATCGAGAGAAAAAATCACGGACCCCAGCCGGGAATCGAACCCGGGACCTCCCAGTATTGCGTCGGGTGCTCTTCCAGCTGAGCTACCGGGAACACGGGAATTTCCTCTCTCGAAATTCACTGCTTACCCCCATTAGGCAACACGACCCTTATACCTTTATATGACATCACATCACCTTTATGATATGAATAGTTAATGAATTGATTTTCTTCCCATTGACAGGTCCTCACGGCCTTCTCCCTCCTCCAGTCTGGCGCTCTAATTTCCGAACGTCAGTTTAAAGTCCTGAAAAACCTCTTGAAAGCCGAAATTTACAAGGCAAAACTCCTCACAAACCTCTGGAAGGCTCTCGCCCTTCTCCAATCAATTCTCAAAACTCCACCTGCATTCTTCATCCCCAATGATCTCCCCGTCCACATCGGCAACTTCATCCTGGGCCTGTTCCAGTTGTGGGATAACGACTTCCACGGGGTGAAAGGCATTCTTGAGCTTCTCCCAGGGTTCATTGAGCTTTTTTCGAAAATCCAGATCGATTACGAGGGTCTCCTAGGAGTCCTCAAGGCCTCAGTGAACACTCGGGATAAGGGGTATTCAGGACCTGTGATCCAGACCACTTATCTGGAAGCCATGTACAGAATAATGAAGCTGAAACCCTCGTCGAGTCCTCACCTGATGACCTCTGAAGAACTCTTCAGGTACGTCTGCTCTGATCTTTACGTTGTGCGTATGGAATCCTTGAAGATCCTTCACTTGATGTTCTCCTCCAACGCGATTCCCATTGTCCACAAGAAGCACCTCGTCGAGAAGATCGAGGAGATGGAGATGAGCAAAACCAACAGCATCTTCGTAGTCAACCAAGATCTGTCCCCAAAAGCCCTTGAGGATGAGGAAGTGAATCGAACAGTCACTTCCCTCTACGTCCTGGGAACCGTCATTCACGCCAGTGGAGTCTTCCATCCTCAGGCCCTCAACATAATGTTCAGACTTCACACGAAGAGAGGTCAAGAGATCAGTCTCATGAAGAAGATCTTCTCAGCTGCTATCCCGAGGGAGAACGAACGACTGACCCTGATCAGGAATAATCTTTACGACTTGATGAAGACTGGAATGCAGCAGGGGGTGTCCATAGGAAACTTCTGGAAGATGACCAACTGCTCCTCTGAGGTCGACTTCTATGAGACCTACATCGGGATATTCATCCTAATCAAATTGGAGATCCATGAGTTCCATAAGATCGAGACGCTGTGTCAGAGGCTGGGGGTTCCCTTTGCCAAAGCCATCGAGGATAATTTTCCAGCTATTCTCTCCTGGATGCTGGCAGCAATGGTCAAAGTCCCTGATCGAGACGCCCGTCGCTATCTCGAGGAAATTTATGTCAAGTTGAGAGAAAATTCTGGGCCCTTCAAATATGTCAGAAAATTTTCAGAGCTCCTGGAGGAGAAGCTATCAGACGTACTGCTGGATTTTCTTCAGAGGCTCCATGACCGAGATCATTTTAAAAAGACCTTCCAGGTGTCCGTTTACTTTCCCAAGATGACGGTTCCCAATTTCAGATGCGAAGTCATCGTGAAAGGTTTGGATGAGTTGAAGAGATGCGTCATGGGGGAGTCTAGAGGTTCTCTGGTTCAGTATCTGATTGTTAAGCATCCTGATATGGTGCAGAAGATACTCTCCACCCTCGTCAGGAACATCCATGACCAAACTATGATAGAGTACAAACTAAAAGTCTTCCACCACTACTCCTTCTTCTGCCAATTGTTGATGTCTGAGATTGGCGAGGAGTACTTCAACGAAATGTCGACATTCGTCGTTCGTGATATCTCCTACACCCTCGTTCACTTCCTCAAGGACACCAACAAGCTCTTCCTCCAGATTGTCTTAGATTTCATGTACCAGTTCCTGAAGAAACTCCTCCCTTCGAGGTCCAGAGAGGTCTCTGGAATCCTCAACTACTTGACAACCAATTTAATCTCGATGATTCAGTCTTCTAAGGACAAACAGGCGATTAAAATCCTGAAACTGTTGATCACTGAGAGCACAGAAGACCTTCAGGAGTCGATAAAGACCCTGGGGGCGTTCCCAAACACCCAGGAGTTCGACGAGATTCGAACGGTCTACAACTCTCTGAAGGAGGCGAGGAACGAGACTTGGACGTTGGCGAGTGAGATGGAGCACTTTCTCAACGCAGGACAGGAGAAAACCCTGAGCTGCAGCATTGAGGGGCTAGTGCACTTGAGGAAGCAGTTGTCAGAGCATCGGGACGAACTCCAGAGGATGTACAAGGACCTGGAGAAACTCAGGGGCTTCGCCGAGGACTGCGCCTCCAGTGTCTTACACAGGTTGACGTACAGACTGATCAAGCTGACTGAGTCTTCAAACGTGAACATGACATTGGAGGCCTCCAAATGTCTGGGAGAGCTGGGGCCAACGGATCTCACGACAATGATCTTGCACCCTGAGGAGGGACACCTGCAGGAGAGTGCGGAAGCGATCGACATGCTGACGGAGACGATAATCTCAAAGCTGTCGGATCATCTGATAGAAGACAGCTTGGAACTGCGAGAGGCATCGTCAGCCGCTTTGTACAAGGTGTATTCCTCCCATTGGGGGCAGCAAATCATCAAGAAGTATAAGAAGGACCTGGGGAAGGGCGGTCCAGGCGACGCCATGTTAACGATCCTCAAGAACACGCGTCCCTTCCTGATGAAGTCGACTGCGAGGGCCAGAGGGGTTGAGGTGGACGGAAAGAAGTGCGCGATGTGCTTCATCCACAACAACGACATCTGGAAGGGCGAGGGTGGAGACTCGTACTCCTCCTGGATTAAGAGGATCACCTGCACTGTTCTCGGCTGCTTCAAGGAGTTGTACACCTCCTCCCTGATTCCAGTGTGCGGGTTGAATGTGGAGTTCTGTGAGAGCATTCTTCCCAGGTTGATTTTCTTGCTGACGAAGACTGCCGAGGAGTTGTTGGATTATGTTTGTGGGTGCATCAACTTGTTTTTCGAGGGCTACTTCCAGGCAGCGAGTTTTACCGAGCAGACGTTCTCGCCTGTCAGTCCGAGGATGGAGGTCTTCAGTCATGAGTCGGTTAGGTGCATGTTGAACATTGTCAACTTCCTCCGTATCCAATCGTCCAACAATTTCGAGTCAAAGTTGAATTATCTCCCCATCGCGAAGGCCGCCCAATACTGTTCGGCGTATTTCACCTCCCTCCTGTACGCGGAGCTCTCCTCCGAGGCGTTAAAGATGTCCCTCCGACCCCGCAACAACATATCAGTGATCGATCATCTCTGCGAGGCCCGTCCCGATGAGGGCAAGGCCCTCCAAGAGATCCTTCGCGAAGCGTTTATCAAGATCGGAGACCCCGACTCGATCCACGGTTGCGGTCTTTCCCACCTCAAGGACCAGTCCTCCCGTATTCAACATTACATTCAATTCAATAAATGGGACATAGCCATGACCGCACAGGACGTGGAGCTTAGTTCAGGCTTGTCCTGCTCTAGAGGCATGATCAACGCCCTACAACACACGGGTCTAGACCACCTCCTAAGTAAATACCTCAGCACGATTAAGAACGAAGAGAATGTAGAAGAGTACGCTTACGAGACGGCTTGGCGTCTCGCCGATTGGAACATGCTCTGCAAGCCGACCTCCGACAGCAAGACGACCATAACCAGCAGTGACTACGAGTACCACCACTACCACTCCCTCAAGTGTCTCCACGAGGGCGATTCCTCGGGTGTCAAGAGTTCCATAGAAAACGCGAGACTTAGTATCATCAATTCTTTGAGGAACATCAGCCTCGAGTGCAGCCAAACCATCTACCCGAAGCTCTTGAAACTCCAAATGTTGCGTGAAGTTGAAGAATTGCATCACAAGAGCATTGATCACTGGCCGGAGGTCATCTCCGACTGGAGGCAACAGAACCTCTCGAACATGAATGACTTCCCATACATCGAACCCATCCTTTCACAGAGGATAGCAATGTTTAAGATTGGCCACAAATCCGGTAGTGATTTGTCTTTGAAGAATTCGATCGTTGATACTTACCTAGAGCTGTCTCGAGTTGCGCAAGCCCAGGGCTACTTGCACATAGCAGGACGAGCTTTGGAATCCTTAGGAAGAACTCCGGATCTCTCGGAGGAGATGAAGGATCGTCTGAACTATCGAGAATCTGTTCTCGCTTGGACGAGGAGTGACCACACGATAGCTAAGTTCTTACTTCGAAACCTCATCACGAAGCCTGAAAACAAGATCAACCCGAGGTTGTTATCTCTGAGTCTCGAACTCTGGGGCAAGTGGATGGCGGAGACCAAATCGGAGACTCCTCAAGTCATCAAGGAGCATTACCAACGATCGATCGAGATCATCCAGTCTATCTCCTCTCCTACACTTGAAGACTTCAAGAACCTCAACAATACAAGAGCTGCCCTTGCCCAGTTCGCAGACGCTCAGTATGAGTACACCACTGAATTCATGAAGACACCGTTATTTGAGAGCTTGAAGCAGACAGCTAAGTTCGTCAGAGAAGGAGGTTTGAGGGCGAAACCGAAAGGCGACAGGCATGTTATCTCCGCGATGAACAAGAACGAGAAGACCGATAAGAACGACTCGGCCGAGTACGAGAAGATCCAGAAGGAACAGAGTATGTACCTGACCCTGGCTGTCGAGTACTACTGCAAGATTCTGATCGACGACGACTACAACGACTTCTTGGTCTTCCGGCTAGTCTCTCTCTGGTTCAAAAACATGGAACACGAGGGCCTGAATGACATCCTCGAGCAGTACCTCCACTTGATCCCTAGCCACAAGTTCATAGCATTGATCCCGCAGCTGGCTCCTCACATCAGCACGGAAAGAAGTCTCTTCTCAACGAAGATCAACTCTCTCATCAGGAGATGTGCGAAGGAACATCCACACCACGTTCTTCCGGGCTTACTATCCCTCCGCAATACCAACAAAGATAACGAATTCCATAGGAAGATGACCTCCTCGGAATCTGTCCGAGTCGACGCAGCTAAAAGTATCCTCGAGGACCTCATGCAGACCGACATAAGAAAGATCATCGAGGAGATGACGAGAATGGCAGAAGCTTTGATGATGCTGGCTTACTACCAATTCGATAAAAAGCGTTCTGGAATGGAGATGAGGATCCCTGATAATCAGCAGATCCACAGGATTAAGAACTTCCAGAACTGCATGGTGCCGACGATAAACCTACAAGTGCAACCTAATGGCAATTACAGCAATGTTGTTGGCATTCTGGAGTTCAAGAGGAGCTTCGAGACTTTGGGAGGGATCAACGCCCCCAAGAAGATCTACTGCGTAGGGATGAACGGTGTCATCTATAACCAAGTGATCAAGGTGGATGCTGACATCAAGACTGACAGCATCATGCAGCAGGTGTTCACTGTCATGAACTCAATGTTCCGGAGCTCGAAAGAAACGAAGCGGAGAAAATTGAACATCAGGACGTACAAGGTTGTCTCCCTATCGCAGCAGTCGGGTGTTCTCCAGTGGTGCGACAATACGATCCCCATGAGCTCGGTGCTGCTGGGACCTGACGGATTGCATGAGAGATATCATGAGAGGGATTGGAAGCCTGAAAAATGCCGGGCGATGGTCGAGAACGCGAAGAACAATACAGATCAGGAGCGACTTAGGGTCTACCTCACGATCTGCGAGCACTTGCATCCGGCGTTTCAGTACTTTTTCCTGGAGAAGTTTCCCTCACCCGAGACGTGGTTCGAGAGGAGGATGGCTTATGTCAGGAGTGTAGCGACGACATCGATGGTGGGGTACATCCTGGGACTTGGGGACAGGCACTTCAGTAATATACTGATTGATCAGACGACTGCTGAGATCGTGCACATCGATTTTGGAATTGCTTTTGAACAAGGGAAGGTCCTGCCCATTCCTGAGACCATTCCGTTCAGGTTGACGAGGGACATGGAGGCCGCTATGGGGGTCTCCGGGGTCGAGGGGGTTATGAGGAGGTGCTGCGAGGAGACTATGGGGGTGTTGAGGGACAGGAGGGAGATGATTATCACCCTACTGCAGGTGCTCATTTATGATCCATTGTTCTCCTGGAGCATATCACCGTACAAGGCGTACAAGATGCAGAGCGAGGACTCGAGCAGATTTAGCGACTCCGGGGAGCAAGGTAAGGGTTCATATTTTACAAAAGTTAATGCAGGTAACCTAGGCTGAATTCAGTAGCGAAGCAGTAAACCTGGTTAAGTCCTGGATGTTGACTATTGGCCAGTTTTGACGAATATTTCAGAGTCTAAAAGAGAAAAATTTTTGTCATAAACTTATTTGTAGAGCCAATTGAGGGTTATAAAAAAGGTCATGAGAAAAATATTGTTATCTCACTTAGGTTCCGAGATGTTGATCAAAAACTGGCCAAAAATCAAAATCGACTTGACCCGGTTTACCGCTTTGCTACTGAATTTAGGTCAAAAGAAAATGTATTTTTACTAGTCTGACGCCGCGAGTAGATGAATAAGATACTGCTGACGTGAGAATAGATAAATGAAAATGTAGACACAGCATACTAAATGTGCAAAAAAATCTGCGTCACGAATTCTCTGCCAAAAGATGATAGAAAATTCTGGGAGATGGTTTAAAAAATTAGTTCCTTTTATAAAAACCGGATGTTACGAGTTAAAGGCGATCACAAGAGAGTAAATAATTTTAAGAAATGTTTAAAAATACGAGGTGGAGTTGCCGCCATTTTTAAAGCCTCCTTCCCCCCCCTCTGAAAGATCTGTAGCTAAGTGGTAAACCGGGTTAAACCGATTTCGACTTTAGGTCAGTTTTTGATGAATATCTTGGAATCTAAAAGAGAGCAAAATTTTTCTCATGACCTTTTTTGTAGGGTCAATTAAGGATTACAAAAAAGGTTTGTTAGAGATTGAGGCTAATATTAGGGCTGATCGGGGACACGTGATATGGAAAGGGTGAAAATTAAAGACACGCGGTTTACAAAACACTGGTGATGTACTTTATTTGTGGCGCAAGCCACGCGTCTTGATTTCAGGGATACACGAATTGATGAATGTCTTAATATCAATTTGATAATAGTCTTTTCACTGCACTAGAGATTCTCTCGATATTAAACTTGATGATTGACTCAACATAATTGATAGTTAACTCAGAATTAATTGATAATTGAATCGAATAGAGACGCTGCACAGCGCTAGACTCAATATAATACTTGGTGATGTACTCGATACTCGTTTAGTTTGATACTGTACTCTATAGGTGACTCTCGGACTAACCGATGTATACTCTTTAAGGAAAAGATTGATACTAGGGGAGGGTGTGTCTGTACCGCTCAGCGGGTAATACCGCTCACCCGATTTTCTCCACAACCATCAACTTGAAAATTTCTTTCTGTTCCTGATCATGAACAATTTGATGATAGGATGTGATTGTCGGAAAAATTTCACTTTATTTACCACTTTGAATATGAAAAAATACGTAACGAAGTTTTGAGGTCTTTACAGTGCAAAATTTGTGGACTTGTAATTAAGTTTTTTGATAATTTCGAACGCTGAGTTCTCATATTAAACTGTGGTTATTCGATTCGTGGTACTTTCACGCGTAATTTGAGACCAATTCGAACTCAAAACTCCACTCATGTCAATAATTATCAACAATTTTGTTGACGCCGAGCGGAGCCGGTAATACCGCTCATAGGATCGGCCACGTAGTTGCTCGACAGCACGCGAGTACAGGTTAGGTTGCGGCGCGAGCGATACACGCAAAACCCTATGAGCGGCATTGGAATCGTGCCGAGCGGTATTACCCGACGGTGGGTAGTACCGCTCAATAGGCTCTCTCTTTTATTTTCAATCAATTTTGTGGATTCTAAAGAGAATTAGGCGTCTACACTTCGAGAATAACGAGTTCAATAGTTAAAGAAGTCTCACAAATACGTTTTTTATACTCAAGTTGAAATATAAAATATAAACCTGGCATTTCCCCTTAGGTGGGCGTTACAGGCACACCCTCCCTTACTGCAATTTTATATTTGGCGATTTGCTTCGTGATTTGCCCGTGAACCTGAAGGGTCCCGAAGTCGGTTGAGATTTTCCGTTGAGCCCGGTAACATTAGATAACGACTTATTTGCTGCGTTTCAAACAACGTTAGAACAAAAAATTTTCTATCTTTTTTGGATTCCGAGATAATCGTCAAAAACTGGCCAAGAGTGAAAATCGACTTAACCCAGTTTACCGCTTCGCTACTGAAATGTTTGTTTGCCATACAAAGAAAAACGAAAAAAAAGTGAAGTTTATGTAACAATTCTTCCCCAGACGTGAAGCCAACGAACAAAATGGCGGAAAGAGCATTATTAAGAATTGATCAGAAGCTCCATGGTACCGAAGAAGGAATAGCCACGAGCATCGCTGGACAAGTCGAGAGATTAATCCAACAGGCGAGAGATCCTGCGAATCTTTCGCGGATTTTCTGCGGCTGGCAGGCGTACCTCTAAATTGCTTTGTGATATAAATGTTTAATTACATATTTAATACCCAGTGCTTGTTCTCATTATTTTTATATTCAACATCGTTATATTTGTAACGTTCGATTTCGTTATCATAAAGTTACAATTTTATCCTGGTGATTAGCAATAAAATCTTTTCATACTTTTTACATGTTCATTGTTTTATTCCCCTTATTGCCAACATTTGGTAATCACTTCCAGGGTTTATCATCCAGGAAACATCAACACTTCGCGTGTGAGGAGAATAAACACAGTGATGATATTAATAATCAATGAATTGCGTAGGCACTCAAGTCGTGTTCATCGCGATCGATGAATAAAGTTGAAATCTAGTTCAGTTCTATTGAAACATTGTAAGAAGAACGGTTACAATTCAATTCATCCCATAAGAAGAAATAAAATAAATAGGTAGGATACATTCTCAAAATGATTGGGAAATCGAATGATAAAAAAATTCCTCTCGAAAATTCGCCGAGATTGCGCTCAAGTCAGTTGGCGCGAACTCTGAAGAAACAAGCGATTGAATTTTGCACGGAAACTGGACTTCATGGGTATAAGTACATGGTCGAGGAGAAACGATCGAAGACCGAAAGGTAATTAGCACTCAATTAATTTAATAGTTTGATTAATTCAACAACATGATTCGTCAATTTTTCGTTTTTTGCTTCCGAATGGAAGCATTGTAATCGTTCAAATTTAAGCGTTGGATTTTTTGTGTTATATCGACCGATTATCCTATTTACTAAAGATGAAAGAAACGTGAAGTTGTTTTATAGCGAAATATCTCGAAACTGTCTGCCCGCTAATCCTTAATTCCGATTGGTCTATATGTGACACGAAGTTATTCACAAAAAAAAACGCGGCATTTTCAAATTCATCAGTGACATAATTTCAAATTCTTCAGTGGTAAATTTTTTTTTCATGTCATATATATATTTCACATGTATATATATATCATCGGTGAAATTAATAAATTCTGTCCTTTTATGGAGACCGATTATTTAAATAAATTGAAGATAATTAATTGAAAATGAAAAATTCTTCATAGATTCTTTTACTCTACTTCGCTATTCACTTCAATCATTAGTCGAATTCTCTTTGATTCATTATCAGTATTTATAAGGTACTCATGAGGAAATGAAATTTAATGAATTCCATTTCTTCATTTCAACAAATGAATAGATAAGCGCGCGCATAGATCTTATGGTCCAAAAAGTCCGAAAATGTATTTTTTAGATCGTGTCCCTCCGTATGTATGTATGTATGTATGCATGTGACAACGTTTTTCGTCAATTTCGCGCTAATGAATCGATGGAATTGAATCTTTTTTTTTCTTAAATGAAAGTATTGCCAAGACCTATCCATCACCATTAATTAAAATTTAATCCATTGATTCATTTTTTTAATTTTCGAACTTTTTCAAAATTTAGTTGTAACACGATAACTAAAAAAAAAGGTTCTAAATTCATTGAATGACGGCTTCAAAAATTCGTTGGGATGTCCTCTTGACCGAGTTCGAAGATGAAAGCCATAGCAATAATCGTTATTTTGATTTCTGTAAATTTTTTCCAAAATTTCGTATTTTTCGAAAATCAAAATTCCGCAGATATCTCTGGATATTGCGCTTTAAATAAATTTAATCGTAGCTTAATATGTTGTTTCAATGCGACTATGACGAAGTTAAAAGATGGTTACAATAGCGGTCTCGGTTAATTTGATTTTTAGGATAATTTTTGGAAATTTCGAATTTTTCATGAATTCCCCTGAAAGTTAGCTTTGTGATGAGTTCTTTAAATGTGATATTTTGAATGCATTCAATTATGTATAAATGAAATATTCCTAATAATATTTCGAAATTTTCAGTAATTTTTAGAATTTCATTGAGTGGAAAATCTAAAACAATTAGTTGGAAAGAAATTAATTCAATTCAAGAAAATAAAATAGGCTATGAATAATATACAATGGAAAAAAATGAGCAAAATGACTACTCGGAAGCATATTGCTAATTTATTAGCAAAAATGACTACACTATACGCAATACAGGAGCAATTTCTCGCTTGTTTGTGATCAATTTTTTTCTGAACATGAATGTCATCTCGGAACATAAATTTTTTAAAGAAATTCGTTTCACGCATTGTAATTGTTTAATTGATAGAATTATCTGGGGCATAATAGTATTCAGCGCGTTGTCCTGCGCTGCAGTGCTGATGCACACCGCCTGGGTGTACAACTCATCCCGGGCGACGTTAACAGTCATCGAATCGACGCACAGAGGAATCTGGAATTATCCCTTTCCAGCAATAACTATTTGCAATCTCAATCGAATGTCATTTAATAAAACTAGGAAATTCGTGAAAGGCCTGTAAATAACATAATTCATTTTTAAAAAATTGATATTTCGTTACCGATTGAAATTTTCAAATAATTTCAATCACTAAAAAATAGTTTATTTAAAGAATAAAAGTTTCTATTCAAATTTCATTCATTTTTTCTTTACGTTTTAATCGTGCAGTGAATGGAAAAAAATTTCAACTACAAAAAGTCTTGAATTTTGTTTCGATTGTTCATAATTTAATAAGATTGGAAGATCACACAATTTTGCAGGAAACTACCGAAAGCTTTGAGTCAAGAGTACGTCATAAATGAAATGCGATTGTTACTGGAACTGCTAGATCCAGGGGTTTTCGGGGGGAATTTAAAGTCGAATTTCACAACTTTACAGGACATTTTCGATGATAATAATTATTCTATTGCGGATGTAGTCAGAGCGGTAAGTAGAATGTTCAATTGTATAATTTTTTATCCACTTTATTGTGACCTTCATTGAAAAATATCAAAATCGAGGATGGAATTCTTATCAGGTATCGCAAAACTGCTCGGAGTTTATTCTCCACTGCAAGTGGAAGGGGATTCCCACCGCTTGCGAGAAATTATTCAGGGAGACTTTGTCTCGAGACGGTGTCTGCTGCAGTTTCAATTACATTTCAACGAGAGCGGAGAAGAAGAAGTAAATTTCTGATTTTTCTGGGCGTAAAATTCTCCATTGGGAATTCATTTTTTTGTTACAAATTTTTAGAACATTTCCGAAGAGAATTACCGCGTGTGGATATCAAACTGGATTGACTCTTCTCTTAAATCCAGAGCCGACGGATTATTTTGCGACGATACTAGGCGCTTATGGATCAAAGGTGCAATATATTCTTAAGAGTCCCCGGAAGTTGAAAAAATCGGTTAAAGTGCGGACAAACCTTTCCGCCTTGAATTCTCAGCCTCGAGGGGATGAAAAAATCTGACGGATCGCTTAAAACATTTGTTCATCTTCCCGGAACTGAATGAACCGAGTTGGAGGTGATCTGAAGGGAATAAATAATTTTAACAAGTAATCAAAAATGCGAAGTGGTTGATAGGTGTGGGCGCCGCCATCTTGGATGTCTCCTCCTTCCGCATGACGGCGGCTCCACCTCGTACTTTCAAACATCTCTTAAAATTATTTATCCTCTTCCAATCGCCCTCAACTCACTTCATCCGCTTTTTATGAAGAGAACAAATATTTTAAGGTTTTTTTCGGATTTTTCTATCCCTTTTTGACTGAGAATTCATGACGCAAAGTTTTCCCCCCATTTCAGTAGTTTTGTTCATCATTTATTCTCTTCGCCATTAGATTCAAATGCACTATTCGTATGACTACCCTGACTGGAACGCAGAGAGTAAGATAATAGCCTCTGGGTACCAAGTGTTCCTCAGTATTTCTCCGGAGGAAACACACACAACTCATGACGTCAGGAAGCTAGCACTCAGAACTAGGAAGTGCATGTTCAGTGATGAAGGGGATGCCAAATACAATACCATAGAGGGCCCAAGCAATCTGACTTACGCCACATACTCGTACACAAATTGTATTGCTGAGTGTCGAGCCACCATCATGAAAGCATTATGCAACTGTGTCCCATATTATTACCCCCAAAATGGTGAATACTTTATAAACAGAAGACTATTTATCGAATTACGTGAGGTCAACTCCATTCACTGAATTCTAAAGCTCATTTTTTTTAGCAACGAGAGTTTGTGATTTGAGAGACGTACGATGTCTTAATTATAATAAAGGTAAGGTTGATTAATTTCATTCAATTGAGCAATTACAGTGGACTTCCCCTAGCTCATAGCGTTCGGGGGTCTGATTCCAAGAACTCGAGCTAGGGAATTACCACCTCCACATGCGCAGGGACGTGCTTACGCGAGAGAGACAGCGTCATTATCTGAGAGAGAACGCTGTAACATACCGGCTGACGACACACAACGCTTCCCCTCTCGTGCATGACGTCACTAGTGCGGTGGGGGACACATTCCCCGCCGCTAGGACACGCCCGAGCTACGGAAAGTAAGAGCTAAGGGAAGTCCACTGTATATTAATTTATTGATTGGTATTTTAGTTATAAATAATCGCGACAAAAATTAACAATAATAAATATAAATGTAATAATCTCTCTACATTATAAAAATCAGAATATCTCTATATTATAAAAATCCAAAAATACCGGCGACGGTGGCCGAAGTGGCTAAATCGCTGGGCCGGACGGCGGGACTTGTGAAGCGCGGGTTCGAGTCCGGCTTCGGGCAATTGGGATTTTTAATCTTTCGGAAACCATCGAACAGAAGTCTGAACACCGAGAATCATTGGAGAAGTGTTAGGAAAACATTGTCGGATGAAACTCGGTCGATGGTTTCCCTTGGTCATAAGGAGAGTCTGCACTGATAGAATGATTCATTTATTCCAAACGAGATTCGTTAACTATTAACGAATGGTAGAGTTGAATATGACCAAATAAATATTCGTTAACAGTTTACGAATGAACCGACGCCGGTGGCTCAGTGGGCTAGACGCAAGTGTGCGAAAGGTTGTGAGTTCGATTCCCTGTGGAACCGAGTTTTTTCAACGGAAAGCTCCGGCGAGCGGGAGGTTGCTAATAGAGTAACCGCCTGTACCGGCATGGGTTCCCTGTGGTTTCCCATGCTACTCCTATGTTCTGTAGGAGTGCGAATGCGGTACAGTGTAGAATCCACAGCCGCATGCATAGGGTTGGGTAGAGTGTCGAAATGAGACTCGAAAAGAAGACTTAAAAGGCCGTAAAAAAAAAGTTATCGAATGGTTCACATGAAAGATGAAAGTCGATTCAAACAGAGCTTCTCAAATATGCATTTATTAATTATTAACGAATGAACATTTGGTGAGGCCAAATAGACCCTAGCTTCCAACCAAATCCATTCATTACCAATAACAAATCTTTTCTATCAGTGTGTACGTGAGGTACAGCTCCTGGGGTACAATGCAACACGGTTGAACAGCAAGTCAGTCCATGAAACCGCAAATATGTAAAAACTCGAATAGGGTGTATATGGCAAGGACAATAAATAAAATATAAAAATCCAAATCGATTTATGGTGATGAAAATTTGGTACTCGAAATTAAGACTGCAAAATTAAGGGTCGAAATAAGGGTCACAGGGATCAGAATAAGGGTCCAAATTAGGGTCATGGAGGTCATATGGGGCAATATAGGGGTTGGCGAGCGGTGCGAGAAGAGGCCGTAGCCCCCTATAAATTAAATAAAATGAATTGAATATTTATAATTAATTAAAAAGATGATTTCATTTTTTTTCAAATTAATTAAATTATTACTAATTGAATCGGTTTTTTATGTAGATTATTTTTCCAACCCAAATATCGGGCAATATAATTGGCCTATTCGACATCACGTGGTACAAGCTACAGGGTTTTCAACTGATAATTTTTTGATAATTTTCTCTGGTAGTTGCTATATAAAAAACAAAACATCACGCAGTCGAATTAACCCCTCGTCAAACTGACAGATTGAATTCAATTGTGGTAATCCGAGCATTTTTATTCGAAATGAGTGTTAATTATACAATTTTCGTTTCTCAATTGTGAGTTTCGTCTCATGGTCCAATTATATTGCCCGACATTTGGATTGGAAAAATAATCCCCCGAATACCACACGAGCTTCAAAATTAATCGGGTATTTTCCTCAAGGTTCCCTGCATACAAACGAACCTATCGGAAAATACCCGATAATTTTGAAGCTCTTGTGGTATTACAAGTGAGAATTTCTTCAGCTGCACACAATGTGATGTCATTCGTATGAATAATTTATGGTATTGATTTGATTCATATGTTTTCCTCGGTCCCCAGGCCGCTTTGAGACGTCCTTCCCAGGTACTCAGCTGTCCAGTAGTATTATAACTACGTCCCCATACCTGAGTGACTCCAGTCGTCCTTGTGGCTGTCAACCCGACTGCCTTTTGTATCGTTATCCGGTCGAGGAATCTTCCGGGGCCCTCGATAGGTCCAACTCCTACAATCAGCGGGACATTTTGTAAGAATCATCTACGAGTCATTGACTCTGATCGACGATTTTCCATTATTTCTTCGACGATTTTGATTTTTTTTTCAGTCACGATTTGGATATTAAAAATCAGAGCCTTGTGCACATATTCTTCAGCGATTTAGTGTCGATTCAGTACCGAAGGAATATCTCTTACGATTGGCGCAATTTATTCGGTATGACAATGAAAATTGTACGTACGAAAAAATTTCATAGAAAAACCGATTGAATTTGTTAGAAAATTCTATTGGGGTTTTAATGAACTTTCGTCTAGTTCTTGGCTCATTCTGTTGAAAAATTCAGCAGCTTATCCGCTTTCTCTCCAATAGGAATCAGACTTTTTTCTACAGAATCCGATTTTTCTATTCAATTTATTCTATTGAAATATTTTCTATAGAAATTCCCCTGCCCAAATTTTCTAAATTTTTGTTTGATTTTTTTAATCAAACGAGAACAAAACTAAAGTTAAAAAAGCTTAGAAGATTCATGTGGAGGAATTCCTATCGAAAATTTCTCAATAGAAAAAAATTTAGAGAATGCTGAAATTCTATTGATTTTTTCAATGAAATTTTTTCGTCTGTGAGAGCATCTTGATTTTTTAAATTTTGTTGAACAAAAAGCTCTCCTTTCATTTCTGCTTTACATTCAAATTTATTTTCGAATTGGATTTTAGCTTCGTTCGGAGGACTCTTAGGGCTCTTCGCGGGCTTCAGTCTAATGTCTGGATTCGAAATAATATATTTCTTCATTGTTCGCCTCATCACAGACACCTACATGCGGAACAAGCAACGATTCTCCCATTAAATGCACTCATTACCATATTCTCGGGGGCCGCTGCATGCCATATTCTCAGTAGTTCCGGAGATATCGTCGGATTCTGGGATTCCCCGTAATGATTTGCATTGTAGAATCACCTTAAATATGCATTATGTAACATTGATGTAAAGACGATAACACCATTCATTATCACAGTAGAGATGTAGTTACAATTATTATTCCAGCATTTATATTTGAGAGGTTGTGAATATGCTCAGAGGATTATTGTGAATAAAAGAATAGACATGATCATGAAGAGACATTTCAGTGTTTTTCTTTGTTTTGTATCTTAACTCCGTCTTTCCAGCTCCTGCTGAAGAAGATATTTGCATGAACACACTAAACTATTGTATTGGAACAATTTCATGGGAAAAATTACTTGAATTTCATGTTTCTAACTTTTGACATTTTTACATGTTTACATTTTGATGTAAGATATTATCAAAATTTAAGGGTCAGAAATCCCTCTAATTCTGATCCTTTCCCCCTGAAAGTCAGTCAATTAAGAAAACAATTAAATGAAATGATTTTTCAATTAGTTTCACTTTACGTAGTCAAAAGGTACTGAAATTTAGTACCCACTTTTTGTAGTGTATATAACTTTTGCTGTTGAGATATTTTCTGTAACAATTCGCAATCGCAACGTAGATGTGGGAGCCACCAAGTGGGCTCTCAACTAACTACTCTTGGGGGCAACCAATGAGATCCCTCGGAGGGAACCAATGATGAAACTCAACAAATGAGATCAAAGAGAATCCAGTGATCTCATTGGTTGCCCGCTAAGAGTAGTTAGTGGAGAGACCACTTGATGGCTCCCACATCTACGTTGCGATTGCGAATTCTCGGCATGAATTTGGTAAATTTTTCCCATATTGTTGTTCAAAACTTGGAAAATTTAAGTTGAGAAATTTTTATAAAGAATATTTCGATAGAATAAGTTGTGGAGAAAAATCAAATTCTATTCAATTCTATTAGAAAAATTCTACTCTATTGAACCCTCGAGTGGTCGCACCTCTCCACCAAACGTATCTGGTCGCGTGATGAGCGCTGCGCCGTTCCGTTTATTTTACCATTTTGAGAAAAAAAAAAGTTCAAAAAAATTATGTATTTATGATTAAACGAGTAACTTTGAACCTCCAACTAACAACTAATATGAGTATAAAACGAGAAAAGTGAAAACATTATTCAAAAATTTATTTCCATTCGGTGCGAAAATTTGTCATTTAGAGGTTAAACACAGAGATTTTCATCGAGTCGAATTTTTAAGGAATTTTAATTTTTGATCGGTGCAAAGATGCACAGAACAAATATTGTTTAAATGTTTGACATGGTGGAAAGTAGGAATTCCAATTTTTTCAGATTTTTTCTCAACAACGTTTCAGCGTAAAAAATAAAAATCGAGACAGAACGGCGCTCGTGCCATGACGCGACCGATCGAGGGTTAATGGAAAAGAATTTTATAGAATTCTATCAAATAGAATAATATAATTTGATAGAATTCTATTCTATTTAAAGGAATTCTATTGAATTACATATCGAAAAATCGAATTCTAATGATTTTTCCTAAAAGAATATTTTCCACTGAATATTTCTATTGAAAAAAAGACCCCAGATAAACTGTGGAATTTTGCATTGAATATTTGTTTATAAATTCCGTAGCTTATCTATGCGTTTTTCTTAAATAGAAGTGCTCGGTTCCATGACTTCAATCAAAAACAATGTCAGCACTGAATTAATAAAGAACACCAAAGATTGCACACATTTCTTTATTGATCACTCCTTTAACCATTAATTTTTCAAGAATTGAATAAACTATGTGTTATGTGTGTGTCGAATGAACGATAATAAATTATCCAAACATATGAACACGCATTAACATGATAGTTCACGACATTCGCAGAGATAACACTCATTCCACACTGGTGCCCAATGATATTTACCTCAAGCCTCCCCACCGCCTGCACTTATATAAAACATGTTGACCAGACTTGTGCACTGATTGTTTGCCAGTTACTGACCATGAACACTCGAGTTAATTTTCTCATTTGCGGTTTGTGCTTCGCAGCTGCGCTTGCAGCCCCTTCGGAACAACGTAAATACATTTTCCTCGTCGGAAAATTTTCCATTGACTTCAGAATATCGACATGACCTGTTAAAAAAATCTGCGCTTACGGTTTTTGAAAATTTTAGAATGAATCGTTGATTTTTAAGCGGATCCATGCTTCAGCTGCGGTTTAGAGGAATGTCTGCGAACCTAACGGAGATAGCAAAATTTTTGTGAAAACCTTTTTTGTAGAGCGAATTGAGGGCTATAAAAAACGTATTAACCCAAATTCTGCTATCTCCCTTAGATTCCGAGATATTCACTGGCAGCTGGCCAATGATCAAAATCGTTACTTGAACCGTTTTACCGTTTTGATAATGCATTGATAATATTTTTTGACAACAGCGTGTGATAAGAGTAAATGCAAGGGACCTTTGAAATACTACGAGGAGCTGTCGTGCACGCCGATATACAAGGAGGGGGACTGCTGCCCTTATAAATACAACTGTGAGAATGTTGAGAAGAGGACCCCCAATAAATGTTCAGTGAATGGACATGAGTATGATATTGGCGAGTCCCTGAGGCCCGAGGATGGACAGCCATGCGATATTGGATGTGTGTGTGAGGATAATGACGGAGTGTTAGTGTCCAGAATTGATGAAAAGATTTGAATTCATGAGAGTCGATTTTTGAGATTAATTGAATCTAATTTTTTTTCAATTCCAGAGTTGGATTCGAGTGCGCTGTGGTTGACTGCCCCTTCGACGAATTCAAAGAGGGCTGCTATCAACCTAGAAATGCAACTGAGTGTTGCGAAGGCGAGAACATTTGTCGTAAGTCGAAAAACCGCGGGAAGATGCATGATGGATGTAACGATTTCGTAGCGGAAGAAGATCACGGTGTTTTCTCATGTTGTTTGGCTTGAAGAAACCAAATTTGTCAGTGTTTTTTATCTGAGACTGTGCATCCAAAAGTTATTGACAATTCAATTGTTTGAATCGAGTTTGCTTGAAACCTACCAGAGATACAGGAAAATAGTTCCAACAAAAGATGTTCCTTTTGTAAAACTGAACATATTTGCTCTTATCGATTTCTCCCGTATCTCGATTATTTTTCGAGATATCCGGGATTCAAATTGCCCATGGAAATGCATGGGGCACAGTACCCCGCGACGTCCCACCCTNTTATCGATTTCTCTCGTATCTCGATTATTTTTCGAGATATCCGGGATTCAAATTGCCCATGGAAATGCATGGGGCACAGTACCCCGCGACGTCCCACCCTGCCCCGCGTCGCAAACTGAACGATTCATTTGACACTCAATATTTCGCTGAATAATTTGAATAAGAAAAAAATCCATTAGATGAAATATGTTTAACTCAACGAAAGCAAGATCTTTTATTCGAAGTATTTTTCTTCATCTGTCATAGTTCTCCCGCGAACTCGGTGNAGGAAAATAGTTCCAACAAAAGATGTTCCTTTTGTAAAACTGAACATATTTGCTGTTATCGATTTCTCCCGTGTCTCGATTATTTTTCGAGATATCCGGGATTCAAATTCCCCGTGGAAATGCATGGGGCACAGTACCCCGCAACGTCCCACTCTGCCCCGCGTCGCTCAACGGAACGATTCGTTTGACTCTCAATATTTCGCTGAATAATTTGGATAAGAAAAAAACCATCAGATGAAATATGTTTAACTCAACGAAAGCAAGATCTTTTATTCGAAGTATTTTTCTTCATGTCTCATAGTTGTCCCGCGAACTCGGCTTAAGCAATTGGATTGTTAATACCTTTCAGATGCACGGTCGGAGAGAAAAAACATCAACAGATTCGGTTTGTTCAAGCCAAACAACATAAAAAAAAACGATGATATTCTTCCACCCTTTTAGTGCACGCGGTAAGGGGGTATTGCGTATGGACTAGTAGGGATCAGTGAGGTACGCTCCAAGGACATTCGATAAGTCAAAGTATAGTCCGAGTGCAGGCGCAAACTTTAGCGAGTGACTGTACACCGCTCGCCACATTGGCTGCCTTCGAAAGTAAACAACGGCGGAATGCTGCAGTAACCGGCGTTTTAATAAAAAATAATAGAAAGAACAAGAGAGTGTAAATAAAAAACTGCAGAGAACTTTTATACGAAAAATGACGAGAAATTCAAACAAAAGCAAAGTCACTGCTGGTGGCAAATTGTTAGTGGCTAATGATGTTCCGATTGAAATTCATCTCGATGGCTTCCCAGTTTTGGATTTTCTTCGTACTTCCAATGTGATAAAAGTAACGTAACCAAAATGATTTTTGTTCTTTTATTTCTGTGGTCTAGGATATTTATATCAGTAGCGAAGTCGTAAAACCGCTCAAGTCGATTTTGANCGGCAAGGATTTGGAAAGTCTGAATACAAGTCCTGCTTACACCTAACAAGTGCTGAAATGGGACATAACCAGAGGTAGAAAGGTCTCGGAAGCACTTGGGAAGAGGCTTCCCAAGACCTATCCACTTCTGAACGGAAAGACCTAAGTAGAACTTGTCAGGTCCAATTATTCGACTCGGGAATCAATCTCATGATCGAACTTGGTTAAGATGGGATTAGGAACCATATTTTAAATCATAATTATCGTAGAAAAACCATCGGTCACACACATACATACATACATACGGACATGGTCTAAAAATTGTATATTCGAACTTCTGAGGCCAAAAGTAGTTATCCTGATTCAAAAATTGGCATTTTCGGATTCGACAAATGGTCCCATTCGGAAGCAACAAGTTTGAAATGTAAAAATGGAATGATTTTATTGCTTTCATTCGGAAGTAAAATAAATCTCATGTTTTTCTAAATGATTCAGACCAAATTCGAGACTTATGTAAATAATTTGATTTCAATTTTTTTATTAAATTTTTTTTTAGAAGCTTTGTGTAATGAAATCAATACTTAAACCACAAAATCAAAGAATATTGAATATTCTCCATGGAATAAAAAAGTTGGAATACTTGTTATTCAAAGATTTTAAATCATCTAATTTACCAATTAAATTGGCTAGGAAAAGCTCGAAAATAAAGAATGGGGTAATTGAATAAATAATTAGCGGAGTTCGAACAAAATTCAATAAATACTTGCTTTTACCAACATTCTCTTCTTAGGAATTAATAACAGAATGTCTCAAATTTCCGAAAAATATAATTTTTTCACATAAAATTGATTTTGGTGTGATTTTTGGAGCCGAAAAATTAGTTACAATTCAGGAAAAATTCATCTTTGAGTGAAAAATTGATTATGATGGAATCATTTATAAAAACATAGTCATGGTCTCCGAAAATCGCAATTTTTTCAATCATTTCATTTCATTAATGGAAAGTCTACTTCAAAAAGTCGACTTTCCATTTTTTTTACATATTTTTTAAATATTTGCTCATAATTATGAGTACATAGCAGTTATACTGTTGAAAAAAAAGATTAAAATTTTAAGGACAGTTTAATAGTAAATTTTAAGAGTTAGAGAGGTACAAGTCTTGAAATGTAAAAGTTCACTGGAAATTAACTGCGATTCAACATTTTTTAACAGCATGGAGATAAAAACTCTCAAGTTCCTTAAATTCTCATTCAATATATGAATATTCTGTACCTAAAATTATTGGATAGTTCGGATGCTAAAGCAATTATAATTGTCCAAATCGAAAATAGAATTATTCAACTTTACTAATGTTGCGTTTAGTAATGTTTCCTCCAAAGTTGATTAGAATTAATAGCTAGAATTATGAGATTATAGAATTTGAATGCGACACAATGAAAACCATGATCAATTTTTTCGCTTCAAAAAATGATAATAATAATATCCAAATTAAAAAATTGCAGAGAACAAGAATGATGATATTTGTGTCATATCCTCTGAATCATTAACATGAATGTCAGATTCACGAAAAAGGTTGGAGCAGAAGTCACAC